AAAAAAAAAAAAAAAAAAAAGGAGGGGGCTTTAGGGGGCCAGCTGGTGCATGGTGGTTGAGGTGACTGAATCTCTCATGACCAACTATGCTGTTTGAGTCCCAGATCCAGCAGTTTAGATGTAAAATTCCTGGATCACTCCTGGTATTTACCCAAAGGACAGAGTCTCCTGTCAGATGCTCAGTCAGAAAAGCGCTTGCACATCAATGTTTGTTGTAGCATTATTCACGATTGCTAAGACATGGAACCAACCCAAATGTCCACGGACAGGTGAATGGATTGAAAAAGTGTGGCACATATACTCTATGGAATACTACTCAGCCATAAAAAACAACAAGGCCTTGGTGTTTGGTAGAAGTGGTCGAATATGGAAGATCTATTGCTGAGTGAAGCAAGCCAGGCTATGAAAGAAAGATACTGTATGTGTCCACTTAATATATACTGACTGTCTGCACTCTATGGCAGAGACTGAAAGATTGGAGGGCATAGAAGCAGTGAGAATTATTATGGATGCTGGAGACAATGCGGAAGGAGGGTGAGAGAAGGGAAGAGTATAGGGAAGGAAATCAGGGAGAAAAAATAAAGAGGCAAGACATATGTGGGACACAGAAATAGTTTATTACCTGTTGATGATAACATGTGTGGTATTCTCAACTGGACTGGTCTGAGGTGTATTTCATGTTGGGTAAGTTCTCTTTACAAGCCAAGTGATATATAGCAATCAAATTTTTAAAAATAATAATAATAGTAATAATAAAACAGAAAAAAGGTTAGGAAGGACAGAGCATTAAAAAATAAATAAATAAAATAAACTCACACTTTAATTCCAAAAATAAATAAATAAATAAAATTACTGGGTCATAGCGTATCTGTATTTTTTTTTATTTTTTGGGAGAGGTTTTCGCTACAGGGCGCGTGCGCTCGCCAGACAGATAGAGAGAGACATAGAGACAGAAAGCGAGAAATCACCCCCCAGGGGGGATGGTCACGCCACAATCCCTTCTCCTCCATTCTCCTCTTGGGATCTTGGGCACGCACGCACACGCACCCAGTGTGAGTTTTAAGCCACCGGGTCCGGGATGCGAACCACGGTCCACTACATGGGAGTCCAGCGACATAGCCATTACG